TTTTTTTTGGTTTTTCGAGACAGGGTTTCTCTGTGGTTTTGGAGCCTGTCCTGGAACTAGCTCTTGTAGACCAGCCTGGTCTCGAACTCACAGAGATGCATAGTTCTTAAATAGAGAATTGGCCACTCAAACTACAGCAACCAACTTTGAATAACATACATTTTGCTATTTTACTGTATAAACATGGATTTTTCCCCCTAAGTTCTTTGTAATATATATGGTTGCAGCACAGAAAATATTTTAGATGTGGCTGTTGACTTCAAACATGACAGTAGTTGTTTTTGACAGCTAATTGTTAAATGAAGCCCAGGGAGCTTGGTACCCAGCCCAAGGTCACTGCAAGGCTGTGGCCCAGCCTTGGTGATTCTGATTGCCAAGGACAATTCTCACTGGGCCTTTTCTCCAACTTGGAATTCAGTGAGTTGCCTTTGTCATAAATCTCTTGTTATGTAAAATCGGTCAAGCCTGCCATACTCTGTGCAGCCACTCACCTAAAGAACAAATGTCTACGAAATGCAATTGCAGTCGTGAAATTAGAAGGCTGAGAGGGTGGGTGACCAGCAGATTAGACTGTAGATGGCTCCTGGGAAACTATGAGAGGAGATGGATGAATTGGCTGTTGAGAAGGTTTAGATTACAGAGGGAAGGGCTTGGTTAAGGGGGGGTCAAGTCAGTGTAGAATGAGACACTATTAAGTCTAGGGTAAATATTTGTGAAGCAACCATCATGGCTTCCTCTTTGATGCCTCTTTGCCTTTCATCCTAATTGGGAAAACTTACTGGAGGTTCATTCTTTTTTTATTTTAGATGCAAATATTTACGTATGCACAGTGCGTTTCTCTAATTTGTCTTTTTCCCTGTGTTAAAACTTACTTTGGTTTTAATACTTATAAGCCACATTAGTGTGAAAAAGCTATTTTTGCTTAGCTTTATTTTTTTCAATATAATTGATATTTCTGAGAGCTGATGTGTCTCTTGAATAGTTATGAAAATAGGACTTTCAGTGGGACTGGACTGCCATTCAAGTAAAGTGAAAGTGTTATCATCCATCAGTCCAGTTTAAAACAGTATAGGGTCAGGTCTCCTTCCAAGCAAATTCTTATAACCCATCTGCCCCTGCCATGTTCCACCTCCAAGAAAGATACTAAACCAGACTATCTGCAAGCAAACAGACTACCTGTTAAAAATCCTGAGGAATGATCATTAACATAACCCTTGTAATGAATTATTGGTTTATAGATCTAAGAGTTTAAAACAGCTTGATTTAGGCACCCAAATAAGACACAAATCGCATAATTAAATTTAAAATAAATAATGGATAATACATTTATGTGAGTATATAATGTGCAATGTTCAAAATATACATGTACCAAAATATTATTTTTGTTTTTGTGAGGTTTAAGTGGGTAGTCTGTATTTTTTATGAATCAGGCCACCTTATTCTGATTAGAAACGTTTTCTCCCTCTTTTTTTTTCTGGTGGTAGAGAGAGAGAGAGAGAAAACAGAGCCTTGTGTATGCAATACATGCCATAGTACAGCCCTAGATTTGATCTTAATAGCTATGAAACTTTTATAAACAAGAGCATATCTTTATGTTTCTCTTTTTAAAGATATGTTTTATGTGTATGTGTGTTTGACTACATGTGCATAAGTGTACCATGGGTGTGCCTAGCAACTGGAGAGGTTGCAAGAGGACATTGGATCCCCTGGAACTAAAGTTATAATGAGTTGTGAGTCTCCATGTGGGTGTTCAGAACCATACCCAGGTCCTCTGTATGTAAGAGTAGCAAGTGTTCTTTACCATAGAGCTATTTCTTCAGCCCTAGAAATGTATAGTCCTCTGAACAGATTAAGAATATTTAAATTGTAATTACGAGAACATTTTCATTTTCTCATAGGTCAGAAATAATTGGGAAAAGAAACTTGGACATGCAGTGACTTTCAAAGTAATTTCAATAGCACAAATTCCTTCGATCTTTCACAGAGAAATTGAAACTAAATGGAAATTAGTTTTAAGCTGTAGATAAGCACTCCCCAAGGCTTTCGTAGTAGACTAAATGAAATT